ATAGGAGCTCAAGTGCTGATCTGTGTGCTCTGTTGTTCATTCAGGGCTGTTAGGCTACTACATTTAATTCTGCTGCAGTAGAACTCATAAAAAAAAAAAAAACCCTTTTTTTCTCAGATGTTCTGTCTCCGGGGTTTGGGGCTTTCTTTTTGAGTGTCCGTTGCTCTGTCCTGCCCAGCTAGGAGGCAGTCTAGTCACTATTTCCCTGCCGAGGCTCTGCCCTTCTGGTGTGAGGTCTGCCCTATTGCTGCAGGCTCTGCCCTGCTGCTGAGGTCTCCACCCTGCTGCCACGGGCTATGCCCTGTGGCGGAGTCTCTCTGTTGTGGCGGGTTGCCTCGGCAACGGCAGGCTGTGTCAGCAATGGGCGTGTACCTCAGTAGGGCTGATTGCCTCAGTAATGGCGGACGCCCCTCCCGCACCGAGCTGCACCGTCCTGGGTTCAGCTGTGCCTGCAGTGAAACTCTCCACCCGGAGCATTTGGAATCACTGTTTTGTTTGTCCCACTGTGCTGGCCCAAATTCCGTTTCCCTGGAATCTTCTGGCCTGGCTCACTGTCCAAGTCCCGTTCGATCAGATGGATATGCCAATCTGCTCTCTCAAGTCTCAGATTGCCGGTTCAACAGGGCACCCAGACCAGTGCGCTTTGTGCGGAGTGCTGTGGAGCGCCGCTGTGCTGCGCGCGGCCGCCAGCTGCACCAGCCAAAACCGCTGCCCTGGCGTCCTGCGTCTCTTTTATACCTGGGAATTTCCCCATTCTGTTGGCAACAAAGATTTGTCTGAAAATGCGGCCCTGACTCACCCTTAGTGCGTTCACCGAGAGCTTCAATCCTGGGTTGTTCTCACCGTGCCATCTTGAGTCGGTCCTACCCCAAAATAGTATTTTTATATAAAGTAATTATATTTTCTAAAAACTCGGTAAGTAAAGTGACGTTGTTTTTATACCTTTACAAATCTCTTTAATGTCTGTCTTAATTGAAGACAACTGGATTTTCGTGTCTTCCTTCTTCTTCATTTAACCTGTTGTAATGAATTTTTTTGGTTGAAGATATGAAGAAAATCTGACCTCATACAGATCTGTAGTTGGAAAAGGGAGGAATATTTTAATAGTCTTTTCAAATGAGTGTAGATATTCTTCTTTGATACTAAACTAGAACTCGAGAAGTGGTAGTTGCGTAAAGGTTAGTTTCATTTTAATTATTTTATGTGTATATGTGGCAACGCACTTTCTCTGGTTGAACTAAATGTTAATGTAGAATCTGGATCCATATCAGTATACCTTTTGTATTAATACTTTTAGTAAGATACACTGGTCTTCCTCACACTATGAATTAAACCTTTATTCATGCATTTTATAACATTATGCACTCACCATTCATTTGGAGAATATTGGTCTTGTGAGCTATACAGATTTTCTAAATGTTGACACATTTCATTATATGATATCAAAAATCACGTCTATTATATTAATATCACCACTGAACTCATCACAAAAGCTTGAAGCATTGAGAAGCTGTCAAGCTCATGATGGATGATAGTTTTTAAAACCCTTAATTTTTACTTGAAAACTCAAATTTTGTCATTGGCAGTTAATACTGTCAGACCTGTTTCTTGAAATAGTAGTCTTACTTCATTCATTTTGGAGAAAATATTCAGCAAGTAGGGATACTCAATTATAGTTGAGTACCATAATCTGGAAATCTGAAACTTTTTGAGCAGCAACATGACATTAAAAGGAAATGCTCATTGGATCATTTCAGATTTAAAATGATTTTTAGATTCAGAATGCTCGACTGTTTAGTTAAATATGATGCAAATATTCCAAAATCAAAAACAGTTCTAAGTCCGAAACACCTCTGGTTCCAAGTGTTTTGAATAAGGGATACTTATCCAAATACCAAATCCAAATAACCAGTTTGTCTGCCCATCATTTGTTTAAGTGGTAATGGTGTTTCATGAAAAAAGTAGCTGGTTCAGCATGTAACTCAAACACAAGTGCTTTTTCTTCATTCGTTATACTTTGGTATGCTGCACAAGTGCTTTATACGTACTTCCCATTGTCACATAGAATATTAAAAGACATGTATTGAGAGTCAATTTAATTAAAAGTGATCATTTTTTACTGATTTAACAGAGATGTTCTTAAATGAAACTGCCGTTTTTACAGTGAGTACACGAACTGGGGATTTTAACAGTTTGGTGCTACTACCCTTTGTGCTGAAGTACCAGCAGATTTGCCCACCATTGCTTTTTTAACATCAGTATAAAACAGAGTTTGGCCAGGCATGATGGCTCACATCTGTAATCCCAGCACTTTGGGAGACCGAGGCAGGCAGATCACCTGAGGTCAGGAGTTCAAGACCAGCCTGGCTAATAGGGTAAAACCCCGTCTCCACAAAAATACAAAAATTAACTGGACATGGTGGCATACACCTGTAATCCTGGCTGCCTTAGAGGCTGAAGCAGGAGAATTGCCTGAACCTGGGAGGTGGAGGTTGTAGTGAGCTGAGATGACACCACCACACTCCAGACCGGATGACAGAGCGAGACTCCGTCTCAGATAGATAGATAGATTAGATAGATAGATAGATAAAAAAAACCCACATTGAAAAAGTCTAATACCATTTAAGTATTATTTTGAAATAATTTTGACCTTATGGAATTCCTGAAAGGATCTCAAGAACCCTGTGCCTATAGTACATAGTTTAAGAATCACATAGTATGTTCTTAACACTAAATGCTGTCTGTAAGAAGAAGAGTGATGGAATATCACTGTATAGCAAGTGTATTCTCATTTAAGCCATCCTCACAGAAGGCCTGTTAGGAAAGGTCATGTTACTTTTATAGAACAGAAAACTTAGCAATTATTTTTATTTTTTTTTTTGAAACAGAGTCTTACTCTGTCACCCAGGCTAGAATACAGTGGCGTGATCTCAGCTCTCTGCCACCTTGACCTCCTGGGCTCAAGCAATCCTCCCACCTCAGCCTCTGTAGTAGCTGGGACTATGGTTGTATGTTACCATGGCCAGCTAATTGTTTTTTCCCTTTTTGGAGACATGGTCTCACTGTCACTCAGGCTGGAGTACAGTGGCGTGATCACAACTCACTGCAGCCTTGACCATCTAGGCTTAAATGATCCCCTGCCTTAGCAGTCCAAGTAGCAGGGACTACAGGTGTGCACCACCACACCCAGCCTATCTTTTGCTTGTGTTTTTAGAGACAAGGTCTCACTATGATGCCCAGGCTGGTCTTGAACTCCTGAGCTCAACAGTCCTCCTGCTTCAGCCTTGCAAAGTGCTGGAATTACAGGCATGAGCCACCACACCCAGCCAGGAAACTTAGCTTTAAGATGTAAAATATTGATTAGAGTGAATAGTAGAAGTGAATTTGAACTCAGGACACTCTAACCTTATAAGTCCATTCCATACTTAGCTGTCTTCTGTTATTAAATAGAAAAAAGTTCCTTTAGCATTCAACAGTAATCTGTTAAGTGCCTGCCTTTTCCGTGAATTACTTTTTAACAGAGCAAATTTACTTAATTTTGGTCATTTTTCTTCATATCTTGTCAAAAAAATGATTTACCATCCTTATATTTCAATCATTGACAGCTGACAAGAACAATTAAATTCTTGCCTACTATAGCTACTTTTTTCTTAAGATGTGGGCTTAAAAATATAAATACTATAAAACAATTATTACTTTTGTAAAAAAGGGTTTTCTTTGGATAATTTAAGTGCATAAACTTTTGTGTTGATGTAGTATAACTGTCAATTTATTTAATTGGATACACATACCTAAAATAAAGTTAATATTATAAGCATCGTCATCACCACTAGGGTCACTTTTTTTTTTCTTTTTGGTTGGCATTGTAAAGACAAAATAATTTAATTGAATAAGATAACTACTGTTGGGTTAATTGAGGAACAGGGTAACAGAATACAAGGTAACAGTGGTTCCACTAAAGTCGTGTTTTCTAGAGTCCATCATTCTCACTGGACATTTTATCTCAAGCCACAGATATTTACAGAATAGTAAAAAGTAATGTTTGCTGAGCCACTACTATGTGCTAGGCATTTTCTCATTGTTTTACCCATAAACTCAACCGTATTATCCCTACGCTATGGAGAAAGTACTAATACTATTTATATTTGGTTGTCATTAAGACAGTTGTAATTTTTTCATTTGCTTATTTACTGTTTTGTTTTGATTTCGTTTGTCCTGTATATGTATATTCATCATCTTCCCATGACATTTTTCAAAGTATCTTTTAAAGGCTTGTTTACAAGGGCTTTTAATACCTGGAATTGTGAGATTATACCTCTAGGAATAATCATGTCTTATCATTGTCTTCTTTATTAACCAGTTTTGACAAGTAAACTGTGAGAACCTGAAGCATCATTGACTTAGGTTATTTAAGGCTAATCTGTCCAAACAGTACATTGAAATGAAGTATTTGAGGAAGCACCCTGTAACAGGAGAACTTTTGTAACTAGTCAAATATAAGGCATCTTTCTCTTTTCTGAGAGATTACTTTGGGTAAGAGATTACTTTAGGGTAAACCCAAACTTATGCTTTTGTATATTTTTGGCATATGTATCTTACGGAAATTTTAAACTCTGTATCTCACCTACAATTTTATTTTTCTATCCTTACTGCCCTGGGTTAGGAAACAGGTATTACTTTGCTAATCAGAAAAGTAGCAGACACACATCGGGGCAGTGGGGGCTTGGGGGTGAGTATGTATGATATGCCTTAGTTTGGGTTCATTGCAGTTTACTAGAGCGTCAGTCTATTAACTAATGAAAATTAGCCTTGGCTACCAAAACATCCTATGTGTGGAAGAATTTCAGATTTTCAAAGCCCTCCTGTTAATGTAATACCCAGGCAACTAGAGTAAACTTTCTAATCTAGCTTCAGCAATAATAGAAAATTTCTCAAAAATAAAATCCTTTTGTGAAACATGGCCATATTTTGTTTACAAATGATGGATTCTATTTTTGCAGATGTGTCTTGCTGAATCAGGGCTCTCTTATCCCTGCCATCGACTTACAGTGGGAAGACGATCTTCACCTGCACAGATCCGCGAACAGTCGGAAGAAGTAAGCCTGTTTGCTAGCTTTTCATTGAACAGAAAGCTTATCCCTCACCTACCTGTCCACTTACCTTTCTTTTTTATCTGCCAGAGCAATGAATAGATAAAGTTAATGTAGCGTGAATTAAATCTCAGTAAATTTTTGAAGTCAGAAACTGGCCATGCAAAGTTATTACTAATGTCGTCCTTATTGCTCTATTAGTTTCATGTTTCAACAGACAGAATTCAGGTGGATTGGTTGAAATGATTTTTACTTAGAGCTATTGGGCTAGCAAATAACGCTCTAGGCTGGGCACAGTGACTCATACCTGTAATCTTAGCACTTTGGGAGGCCGAGATGGGCAGATCACTTGAGGCCAGGAGTTTGAGACCAACCAGGCTAGTCAACATGGCGAAACCCCGTATCTACTAAAAATACACAAAAAAATGAGCCGGGCATGGTAATGCGTACCCGTAATCCCAGCTACCCTGGAGGCTAAGGCACAAGAAATACTCCAACCTAGGAGGTGGAGGTTGCAGTAAGCTGAGATCACACCACTGTACTCCAGCCTGGGTGACAGAGTGAGACCCTGTCTCCAAAAATAAAAACTAAAGAAAAGTGAGCCACCACACCCAGCCTTAAATTAGGTAGAGCATGATTCAAGTATTTAAAAGCTTAGGCTTGTCCAATAAAACCTTTTTCTGCTTAAATACTATGCAAAATGTGGTTGCTCATTTTAATTTAAACTGCCTGTATATTTTAGATACCCATTATGGAAGCTATCACAGGACATCTCCAGCCATCCTTTGAATTTGTATTTATATCACTTAAATATGTGAAAGAGAAATGGAGCTACATAATTGAAGCTGTAGTCTCTAATCATCCTGTGAAAATTATAATTTGCCACTCTTGTTTTTAACATTTTTTAGAAAGCCACTGAGAAGAAAGCTTTCTCCCCTGCTAATAATATGACTGTGTTATACTATACTGTACTTGGTCTCCAAAAATCCACTAACATTAAAAGGTGGCCAGCTAGCCACAACCAAATTTCTGTTTTGTTTTGTTTTTTTATTTTTGAGTTAGAGTCTCACTCTGTTGCCAGGGCTGGAGTACAGTGGTGTTATTTCGGCTCACTGCAACCTCTGCCTCCCAGGTTCAAGCAATTCTCCTGCCTCAGCCTCCTGAGTAATTGGGATTACAGGCACTTGCCACACTATGCCCAGCTAATTTTTTATATTTTTAGTAGAAACGGGATTTCACCATGTTGGCCAGGCTGGTCTTGAACTCCTGACCTCATGATTCACCCGCCTCAGCCTCCCAAAGTACTGGGGTTATAGACATGAGCTACTGTGCCCAGCCTACCAACCAAAATTCTTGATTATTCTATGTCCTCTCTGAGAGGTGACAGGGATAGTGTTGCACACAAGGTTTCACTTCATTTATTTTCTTCTCTCACCCTCACCATTATATGTGTTATTTGGGTGGTCCAAACAGCAGAGAGAAGTCAGTTCCATATAGTGAAAAGCAGTGTTTGTGAGGCTAGCATATTATTTAGGTTATTTTGAGAAAATGGTAATGTAGGATTGGGAGGCTTTGCCAAACTAAAACAGTCACGATCTCAGTAATATGTTATTATTACTGAATAATAATATCTTATTATAACCAGTTTCATTGTTGAGCAGGCTTTTCTGCTGTCTTCCTTATATTAAGTTGAAATACGTGTAATTGTACCATTCACCCAGTGATTCTGCTGCTTTCTTCTGGTTCTACTCTTCTATGTGACTTTGTGTGTTTTAAGACAATCTTGTTTTTGTTTTTGTTTTTTGAGACAGTCTTGCTCTGCTACCCAGGCTAAAGTGTAGTGGCATGATCTTAGTTCACTGCAGCCTCCTCCCCATGGGTTCAAGCAGTTCTTGTGCCTTAGCCTCCCGAGTAGCTGGGACTACAGGCATGTGCCATCACGCCTGGCTACTTTTTTTATTTTGAGTAGAGATGGGGTGTTGCCATGTTGGCCAGACTAGTTTTAAGCTCCTGACTTCAAGTGATCTACCTTCCTTGGCCTCCCAATGTGCTGAGTTTATAGGTGTGAGCCACTGTGCCCAGCCAACAATCATCATTTGGCTTTTGACTTTCATAAACTTTGAGTTAGGAAGAAAATATTTGAGACCAGCAGTTAAATTCAGGTTTTAGATTTTATGGATTGTAGTTATGTGTCCTTCAGCTGGGAGAATTTTGATTCTTACACTATTTCTCTGGCCTTACAGATACAGTTTCTTTATGATCATTTAATATTTTTTCTTCTCATCCTCCCCTTGTTCCTGAGACCCCATTTAAAGATTTTTTCCATATTTCTGGATACCTAGCTAGGTAACAATTTATCCTGAGTTGCTTGGATGAGACAGTGTGGGGGCCTTGTTGACTCTGGCTCCTTGGGAATTGTTTAGTTCTCAGTTGACAGTGAAGAAGGAGAGGCAATCCAAAAATGTAACCAAAAACAAAACATTTCTAATGTAATGTTAAAAGCATTAGTTTATAAGTATGGCTAAAGAAAGGTTTATTGAATGCTCACTATGTACTAGTTAGATGAATATAAATTATAATTTTATATTGCATGATTAATGAGAAAATTGAGGCAAGCATGAGATGCTAAGGGACCATAGATATGGGGAATGTTGTAACTTTCAAGAATGCTTACAGGCAAGAGCCATGTTTGCCTTTCTCCTCTCTGTAGCCCTAACACCTAGCATAGTGCCTGGCATGTAACAGATACATAGTAGTTATTTGTAAATGAATATTTTTTTAAAATAAAGAAAATAAAAGTAAAAAGACTAAAGGAGTTAACATCCAAATTCAATTATAAAGAATGAGTCACAGCCAAATAAAGAATCAAAGGAATCATATTCCATTCATTCTATTCAGAGGGATAAGCATGATTTGATGTAGCAAATGAGAAGAGATAAGTGTAGGTTGCTATTAGTGCAGAAGAAAGTGGGGGGAAAAGGAACATAAGAGATGAGGTGAAAGTGAATAAGTCTTATATGACACGTTGAGAACTTGAACTGTAAAGAGCAGTAAAAGACTTTTTTTTGAGATGAGGTCTTGCCCTGATACCCAGGCTGGAGTGCAGTGGTGCAATCTTGGCTCACTGCGGCCTCCACCTCTCCAGTACAAGCAATTCTTGTTCCTCAGCCTCCCGAGTAGCTGGAAGTATAGGTGCCCACCACCAAGCTCAGTGAAATTTTTGTATTTTTTGTACAGATGGGGTTTTGCCACATTGGCCAGGATGGTAACTCCTGACCTCAAGTGATCCACCTGCCTTGGTCTTTCAAAGTGCTGGGATTGCAGAAATGAGCTACTGTGCCTGGCTAGCAGTAAAAGACTTTTAAGTGGGGAGTGATATCTCCTCACAAATACACATTTTAGTTAAGAGCATTCTGCTGTGCACAGGCCAGATTTAAGCGAAGGGAGACTGAAGACAGAGAAATCAGGTATGAGTCTGTTGTACTAGTAGTGCAAGCAAGAGATAATGGGATCCTTAATGTAATACAGCACGTTAACAGAATGAAGGAAAAAAAACACGTCATCATCTCAATTGATGCAGTAAAAGCATTTGACAACATTCAACACCCTTTCATGGTAAAATTAGAAATAGAGGAAAACTACTTCAACATAGTAAAAGACATATGAAAAACTCGCAGCAAAGATCATACTCAAGGGCGAAAGACTGAAAACTTTTTCTCTAAAATCAGAAACAAGGTAAGAATGCCCCCTTTCTTCACTTCTGTTTGACATAGTTCTGGAAGTTCTTGCCAGGGCAAAAAAAAAATATATATATATAAAAGGAAGATTTAAAATAATCTCTGTTCACATATGATATGATTTTATATGTAGACAACTCCAAAGATTACATTTTTAAAAAACTATTGAAACTACAAAATGATTTCAGCAAAATCACAGGATACAAAGTCAACACAAAAATCACTTGCATTTCTATAAACCAGCAGTCAACAAACTGAACAGAAAATTAGAAAAACAATTCCAGTGACAACAGCATCAGACAGCATGATGCTTAGTGATTATCTAACAAAAGAAGTGGAAGACTTGTACTGTGAAAGCTACCAAACATTGCTGAAAAATTAAAGAAGATACAAATAAGTGGAAACACATTTCATGCACATGGGTTGGAAGGCTTAATATTGTTCAAATGTCCATCGTGCCCAAAGCTGTTTACAGAAATTCCTATCAAAATTCCAATGGTATTTTTTTGCAGAAATAGGAAAACTTATCCTAAAATGTATAAGGAATTTCATGGGACCTTGAATTGCCAAAACAATCCTGAAAAAGCACAGCCGGAGGACTCACTCTTCCTGATTTCAATATTTAGTAAAAAGATATAGTAATCTAGACAGTGCAGTGCTAGCATAAAGACTGATATATAGACCAATGGAATATAATAGCCTCAAAATAAACCCCAGCATACCAGCATATTATGATAAAATGATTTTTGACAAGGGCACTAATTCCATTCAATGGAGAAAGGATAGTTTTTTTTAACAAATGGTACTGGGAAACCTGGATAGCCACATGCAAAAGAATTAATTGGATCCTTACCTAATAGGATATGCAAAAATAAACTCAAAATATATTAAAGACCTAATTGTAAGATCTAAAACAATACAACTGTTAAAAGAAAACATAGGGCAGAAGTTTTATACATTGGATTTGGCAATGGTTTCTTGGTTATGACACTAACGGTACGGGTAACAAAAGAAAAAATAGAGAAACTAGACTTCGTGAAAATTAAAAACTTTTGTGCATCAAAAAACACTAGCCATGGAGTTAAAAAGGCAACCCACAGAATGGGAGAAAATATTTGCAATTTATACATCTGATATGGGATCAATGTCTATAAAATGTAGAGAACTCCTAAAACTAAGTAATATAACAACCCAGTTAAAAAATGGGCAAAGACCCAGAGCTGCAAGACTGCTACTGCTATAGTTGTTCTGGACTGGGAACCCAGCCCA